TCCTCCACTAAGACATTAATAAGTTCTATTTAGGGAATAAAAAAGTTTAAGTTCTGGATTAGGAAAGTCATTATGTTTTAGTCCTATTTAGTGCAAATTTCACATTCTTTATTCCCCTAATGATAGTGGGTATTTCGTTTAATAATGTCGAGTGACGGTAGACATTTACTTAAACAATGACCAGTAGACATTGAACATTGGTATTACATCAACCTATTCTTAAAAGCAGGGGAATTATGCCCCATGCTTTTTCCCGCCCATTTGTCAAGCCTTATGAGCCATTGATATTTGTCAATCTATGCATCTACGGCCCATATTTACTGCGGATGAAAAGGAGAAAAAAAGAAAATAAGTATTAAATAAGTACAACAAAAAAGACTTTAAAAGGAATCACATTTATATACGATATTAACATAATTACACAATTTTATATCTAAATTACTAATTAATAATAATTGTAACGGAAAAAATTAATTTATTCCCACGAAAATTATTAATAATTTATATTTAATGTGTTAGATGCCTTGGTAAAAAATAATTAATACTCCGTAATTTGTAACGAAAAAAATGAAAATAATTAATAATTTGTAACGAAAAAAGTATTAATTATTTGGAAACACATTTATAAAATATTGTAAGATAATTCATACGTATTAAATATATATCGCATAAAAAGGATTTAAAAGGAAACACATGTATACATTATTATAATTAGATAGTTTCATTTTTTGGAATGTAAAAGTACCATATTCGTAAAAAGGGAAACAAAAGAAAGGTATTTAAGGAATTAAGTGATTACAAAAAAGGAAATCCCGTACATATATTAAATAAATACACAGTATAAAATTCGTATATTTATTATTGATTTGGAGAAAAAAAGGAAAGCTGCCAATTATAATTATTATGCAATAATTCGTATATTTATTTATTATAAATTACTAATTAATAATAATTGTAACGGAAAAAATTAATTTATTCCAAGGGAAATGATTGGTTAGATTAAAAAAAGAATCCGAGTATATTTAATATATAAAAAGTATAAGATGGAAATTATTAATAATTTAGATTTAACGTGTTAGATGCCTTGGTAAAAAATGCGAGTAATTAATAATTTTTAACGAAAAAATGAAAATAATTAATAATTTGTAACAAAAAAAGTATTAATTATTTGGAAACACATTTATACAATATTGTAAGAATGCATAAGTACCGTATTTTCAAAAAGGGAAACACAAGAAAGGTATTTAAGGAATTAAATGATTACAAAAAAGGAAATTCCGTGCATATATTAAATAAATACACAGTATAAAATTCATATACTCCGTATTTGTTATTGATTTGGAGGAAAAAAGGAAAGCTAACAATTATACTTATTTTGCAATAATTCATATATTTATTTCGTTTCCTTTTACGAAAATAGGAAAGCTACCCATACGAAAATAGGAAGGGACAGTGCAGGAGATTTTTTATATTTTGTCTCCTTTTTAAATAGGTAATTATTTACGCCTAATTATTACTACTATTATTATAATTACTTGGAATAATTTACGCCTGATTATTTTATCAAAAAGTAATTATTTATGCCTAATTAAATAGGTAATTATATACTTAATCACTCTATTCTTAAAAGAAAATACTTTTAAGAATAATAGAATGATAAATTAAAGGAAATTTCAGATGCATAATTACTTAATTCTGATAAAAAAGCAATGGACTAATTTCGCAAACAAGATCTACGTTGTTTCCTTTTTAGAATAAGTTCACATGCATAATTTCTTAATTACTCTATTCTTATTTAGAATGATAAATTAAAAGGAAATTTTGCATGCCTAATATATTTCTAAAAAGGAAACAAAATATAAAAAATATTATTTATATAAACTTCTTTTCTAATACCGAACTTTTTTATGAAATTGGAATTGATATAATAAAAAATGATTACCATTCAACTAAAAATAATTTTTGTCCATAAAAGGTAATAATCACGTTAAGGTGTAAATTTTTTAATCAATGCATTAAATTTATAGTTTCTTAATTTATATAATTTCCAATTAAGAAACAAATCATTTTAATCATACAAACCATTTTGTTAAGAAAATAAGCTTTCAATTTAATTATGTTTCCATTTAGAGATTTGGTGCCAAATATTTTATGAAGAAATTTAAATATATAAGTTTATGCATTTAAGGAAGGAACAATTAAAAAAATCAAAATAAAAAATAAGAAAAGAAATTAAATATAAAAAAATGTCAAAGTAATACATAGAAATGGCGGCACATATGTTAAGTGTTGAATACAAAAATAGTTTTTAAATCATAAATTACTTTGTAGCAAGAATAAATTATGTATTACCGTGTAGAAAAAATAATAATACTAATATATCGTGCAATAATATTAATGTATTCAATCATTATTAATTTGTTGTCATGAAGGAATAATAATAATAATAATATACTGTGTAATAATATTATCGTACTTAGTTATTATTATCGTGTAATAATTCTAACCAAAAAAGCTTTCAATAAAATAATGTTTTCATTTAGAGATCAAGGCCCAAACGTTGTATGGAGATATCATTTTAAGAGGTGTGCCTTTAATACATGGAAACATATTGAATAATATATACCTTTATATGTTGAACAATCAACCACTAATTGATAACTTACCCAAAAAAAATTAGATGCATGGAAATAGAAAAGTACGATATTTTGAATGACTTACACTCTCTTGAGTTTTTAAATAAGATTCATGCTTTCGGAGTAGAAAATCATGAAGAAGTCTTTAAATAAATAAATTTTTAAAAGTTTGATATATAAAAATTATACGAGTAATGTAGTTTATAAAGAAGTCTTTCGTTATTTGTAAAACAATTAACTTTTGTACCTTAAAATAATAAAATATTTATATTCTACTCCCTCCGTCCCGAAAGAAGTTTCTTTATTGACTTTTTGGAAAATTAAGGGAGGGATATTTTGGTGTTGAATTTCCAAAAATACCCTTGATGTGATTGATAAAAGTAAAATGTGATGGATAGATTATTAGTAAAAAAGTATGATGTGATAGCTAGGGTATGAAAAAGTAAGGAGCAAAAGTAGTTTTTTAATAGAAAAAGGAAGGAGTTTGTGAGATAAAGAAAAAATGAAAGGGGGAGATGTTTCAAAGACGGAGGGAGTATTAGATAAGAAATTGTATCCTTCAAAAATGATCTTAATTTAGTAATATTAGTATGACCCGTGCAACGCACGGGAGTGATGCTAGTTAGTAAATAAAAACAAATGACACCATATTAAGAAAATTATTATGTTTTAGTACTATTTAGGTAATAAATTGTCATATTGATTGTGTTTTAGTTCTAATTTGATACTTCTAACAATAATAATCATGAACTCACAGTAACATATTCTAAAACTATATTGCAAAACAAAATTAATAATGCTAAGCAAATTTTATGGTGGATTTAAGGTCCACCATAAACATTTCTTTAATACTAAAATAAACATTTATTTTTTAAATTAAAACAATAACAAAATGTTTTTTTATGTGAGACGGTTTACAAAATTGATAAGCACGCAAGTTGCACCAAAGAAGCACTCGTAATGCAAAGATTAAATTATAACAAACTCAATTTGATTATGATGGAGTTTATGAAAAGTATAAAATACCTTATCTCCGGCAGTAGTATTTAATAATTGATCGAGAATTCAGATTAAGGAAATTGGAATTATAAAATTGAACGTGATAGAGAAGAGATAAGTAATGATAGCTACAAAAACTTTTCTGAGCTGTGTTTAGTACACAAAATTTAAATTATGAAATTGAAAATGGGAACGACAACTCTAATTCTACTATTTGGTAGCAAAAAATTAAAAAATATGTGAATTTCAAATTGGTAATGATGGTGTAAATTACCACGCAAATATTAAGTGTGAGTAATCGGAAGGGTTGTAGGTGGAATCACCTGTAACCCGATTTGTTATTAATGATAATAGGAGTTATTAAAAATACAAGCCGTGTAGGTTAATTAAAACATGCCTCATAAATGAGGCTTTTAAGGGTATTTATAATAATCCTAAGCACGTCAAGCACGTCTCTGATTATCCAACCGGTCAGGCGGCTGACCGGCCCACCAGGTGCACTTTGAAAGTAGATCTTCGGGTATTGGCGTCTGGTCTCCCCATCCAACCGGTCAAATAACCCGGGCTGAAAAAGACGCGTGCTGTTCGGTGAACCAACCGGGTGGTATCCTTGGGTTATTACCCATCAGGTAATGTTAAAAATGAATTGGATTTGGAGAATTCAATTCCATCTAAATCAATTATGTAGAATTTTAACTCTCAATTCATTTCTAAATCCGTCAATTCTGTGTACCAAACAGACTCTAATAGTAAAAAGTGAAACATTTCTTAGGACATACAAAAAAGAGAATTTGAAACATTATTGGGGGATTTGGGGCAAAGGAAGCATATAGTTAGAATTTGTTAGAATGAGTGAAAAATATTTTGAAAATAATAAATAATTAAAAAAATAATTGGAAAGTATTGTTTGGAAGGCCGAAAAAAAGTGAGAAATTTTTTAAAGATGGATGGAATATATGACAAATACAAATTGTAGTCAAAATTTAAAATGTCTAACCTCAAAAATCAAATTATAAACTTTTGATAGAGTAATAATGGGTCATGACGCCTTCAAAAAAAAAATAATGGGTCATGACCCAAATCAGATTGAAACCAAGAAGTTAAAGCCCAAAACTAATGGAGCATGGCAGGCCTATTAAGTTAAGAAAGAATTTTTATAAACTTCTCATTTTTGGAAGCCCGTTTATACAGATTAAACACCGATTTTAAAATTACGTCATGGCCGTAAAAAAAATTACATCATGAAGTGCAAAAAAGTTCAGAAATAGACTAAAATGATAAATAAAAAAGTAAGAATGTACCTAGTAAATCTAGAGTGACTGACACAATTCTATAAAATCAAACATAGGACAAGGCATTCCAGCTAACAAATCAGCAACTTAATTCGTTCATCTTATAGTAAGCGACCATAAGAGAAAAGAAAACTCTAAGAGAATATATGTTTTACACTCTATTGAAAACAACCAGTGAAGTAAGAGATGTCATGATCATTTATTCGTAGTGCGTGCCTCATAGACTGTTTCGTTGTCCATCTCCACCATGAGTCGTACGTTATCCGAAAAGCTCCTTAAGCCATTTCAACGCCTCTCGAAGCTCCATTGCTTCTGCCACACACACACACATATGTGTGTGTGTGTGTATCTATATAATTCGTAATACTTAGGTTATATTGTCTATATAAAATTAAAGTATACCAGTTTGTGCCAAACAGAAAACAAAAAATCAAGTGATTGGAAGTGTTGAAACTTTGGAGACCAAACTACGGGAGTATCTTTGTTGAGGTGTACATTTGGGCAATGAATGACATGAAGGCAATTGCTAAAGAAGGAATCAGTTACCTTTTACGGAGTAATTAATTCAATTTAACTAAAGTAATTATTGTGTCTAAAACCCACTTTTATTTCAAGGACTAATACCCGCCAAAAATTATTTATTATATGAGTTGCTGCTGCATAAATGTATGGTGGAGTTGAAAAAACACTTTAATTTGTGTGTTGATTGTGTTGCCACGAATGATCAAACTTTAATATATTTTCTTGTTGCAATGTCGTTGTAATGGGTACAATGTCACACACATATTAAAATGAATGCTTCTACTCCGGTATCATATTTAGGTGATTTTTTATGCCAAATATTTTGTGTGGTACAACACTATCAAACTGACTTTTTTTTGAATCAGAGGTCATAAATCTGAATCCGAGTGGAAGTAGTATTATTTCTGTATATGTGCTTTTAAAGATTGACAAGGTATGATCCGATATTACATTCTAATAGAATTATTAATGTTAAAAAAATTGAAGTCGAGTCTATCTAGCTCTATGGCATATCCCACAACATAAGGACATCTAACGTGTAGCATCTTAGTTTTGGGTGTCGGATTATAGCTCACGCTTATGGAGAGAGTAAGATTTATTTCGAGATAGAGAAACTGGATATTATTTATCAAATTTATGACTTAAATTAGATCTGCACAAACACGGATATGGGTTGGATTCGGGACAAGCTTAACATTCAACTATCTTTGTTTCAGGATGTTCGTTTGTTTAACCTTTTTTACTTAAAGCAAATAAATTTCAAATTAATAATTAAATAAAATTTATGTGACATATTAATGAAATGAAATGATCATTTGAAAGTTTATTAGAAGGCAAATCTAGTTACACCATATTTAATTATATTAGTGTGTGTTCATTATGCGTTATTAGATTGAAAAAAATGAACAGATTCAACATTGTAATCGAATCATGACACTAAACAAATAACTATATACGGAGTATTAATATAGGTGTTTGTGCGTTATTTGGTGACTTTTTTTCAGGGAGTTCGGTGACTGGTTTTAAACTTTTGTGTTATACATAAAACACCCTAATGATGTTTGTTCTCAATTTCTAATAGTGACTGAAAAGCAAAATAAATAAATTTTCTCTTTTTTTACATATAAAGATTAAGCACATACGTTTATCTTTATTACTACTCCCAAAATATTTTTTGTTTTAACTTTTGGCATATTTATGTTTGCAGATTGACTTTCCAATTCTATCTTCAAATATTTGCACTAAATAGCACTAAAACTTAAGTTATTTCTGTAAATAGCACTTAAACTATATGTTTTATTCCCTAAATAACACTTAATAATGTCCATAATTTAGCATCGAAGAAAAAAAGAGAGTCAAATTACTTAAATAATTTATTGTATCAATGTAAAATGGGTAGGATATATTGCAATGGCATGACTTGATCGGGATATATTAATCATCTTTTATAAAAGTGAAAGTGTTTTGAAATAAAGAAAAAAATGAAAGAGGAACTATTTAAAAAAATAGAGGAAGCAATAATTTCGGCCGGTCAAATATAAACTTTATGTTAGCATTATGGATAAAACTATACTATACGCTGACTTATTTAGTCTGAAATTATTTTTCTTAATTACAACTTCATATAAATGAGAAAAGAAATTTTAAAAATATTAAGAAATGAAAATATGATAGAAATTAGAAGTATTGTGTACCACATACTCTCTATATAAAAAAGGGAACAAAAAAAGTACATAAAATATTTTAAATCAAATATATATAACATGAATTTGTGGGGTTGGAGTATGTATATAAAACTCTATATATCTGTCCGTCATAGATCTTTTCAAATGTCATTTATGTTTTCTGTGAAAGATCTTCTCATTATTTTTTCTAACAATTAAAATGCCACAATTGACCTCACTTTATTTATTACACCTCATTCACCTTATTTAACATATTTCACCGATTTCATTAAAAGAATGTTAATAAATTTTTAACTTCTTTCTTCATTTTTTGGAGTACATAAAAAGTCAACTTGAAAATATATACGTGGACAGAAAGTATATGAATAGAGTGAAAGTACTAGAAAGATAAAGGGCACAAAACAGGGTAGCTGTTTTTGCCCCCATAATGGGCAACATTAGTATAAATCATCATTCATTAGGTCTCTTAATTAAGATGCACGATGAGTAGGAAACATATTAATTAATAAAAGTTAGTGACCAAATTCTACCCCACGTCCTCAAATCTATGTATCCTACAATATCGTATCTATCAAATTAAATTAAACTTTTTAAAATTAAGTGGCTCTAAATCCTCTAGTTCCATAAATAAAAAAAAATGGAATTTTGATAAGTTTGCTCGATTTGTCTGCATAAATTTCAACCACATTATTATTATTACGGTGGGGTTCTAGTGACACCGGAGTACGTGACACTCCGGTGCCACTGTCATTTTGGAGCACCTCTAATGCTCCGTTCGTAAAATTGACGATTAGTACCCCTTAGCCCACCCTCTAAACCCCTCCACCCTACCCCCGCTCCTGCACCCCAACCCCGACGTAAGCCCCCTTAAGAGTTGTGTTATTGTAGTTTTTAAGTCCACATGTAAAATGTAGACTTTCTCACATGTTTTCAATGAGTTAAGAGTTGGATCTTTTTAGTTTTACAAGGCCCATCACATAAAATTATTTTATGTGAAGGACCATAAAATACTCCCTAAAAGAGCCAATGCTTCGCCTTGGAGCTCGAACCTAGGTGAACTTCCTCATAAACCCTAGGGAGTGAGTTTGCTTTTACTCAAGGCAGGGGAGAAGTTCTCCCTAAAAGGAGATTTATTATTTACACTAACAATTACTCATCCCGTCCCCAAAAAAAAAAATGCCCATTTTACCCCGAGCACAGTAAGTATTTAATAAAGAAACAATTGGATAGTTGAGATTTATGTAATAAAAGAAAGTGAAAATGTATATGACGCAAAACCTTCGAATTATCGAAGCAAGCACTTCTAATTTTAAACCAATAAACTTCAAACTTCTCATTTAATCACACAAAATTTACAAATTTCCGAACTCTTTTTGATATATTGGGGTTTTGGTCAAACTAGAATTACAATTTAAAAAATTATGGAGATGCTGCCAGAGGGGGGAGTATTATTTAATCAAGCACAATCATACATTCATACCCCATGTACGTCTCCTCATAATTATATATATGGAGTACATAATTATTAGTAGTGAACATAATAAATCTTCACAATTAATCATTCCAAGCAATTCAATACATATCTGTATGTATATGTTTGTGTGTATACACACACACACACATATATAGACACACACATTAATTCATGCATGCACATATTTAAATGTATATACACACACTTGCAAATATATAAAATCTGGGGCAGGGGTAAAAATGTCCAAGAAATCTTTGCGCAGGAGAAATGATGATACGGAAGAGCTTGATGTGTTTGAGGCTGCAAAATATTTTTCAGACTCCAATGAAGTTTCAACATCTACTCACAAGAATCATCTCAATGGGAGGGCATGGGGAGGAGGAGGAAGAAGGAGCCTAGACATCACCATGCAAATGCGAAGGTCTCTCCAGGGGAAAAAATCGTGGGTGGTGGGGGACGTCGAGCTGTTGGACAAGAAGCAGCCAAGCTCTCCCGGAGGAAAGCTCGCCAGCTTCCTCAACTCCCTCTTCAACCAAACGAGGAAGAAGTGGAAAGCGGGGAAAGAGGATCATGAAGATGATGATGAGCGCCCTGGAGGAGGTAGTAGTAGTAGAAGAAGATGGTTGGGGGTAAAAAACCCCAGACCTTCTTCTTCTTCTACTACTACTACTACTACTACTACTACTACTACTACTACGGGTACTAATCTTTCTTCCGGTTGCGGATTTAGAACCCCTCCTCCCACTTACACATATGCCCCTACAAAATCCTACATTCTCTCAAATCTCCATAGTGAACAAGTCACTAATGGTCCCAAAAACCACAAGAGTATATCTTGCTTTGTGAAGAACGCGTTTAGGTCTAACTCAACCCGAAAGGAGAAACATCTGGGGGAGATAAGAACAAAGATGAACAATGAGGACGACGAGGATGATGATGATTATAGTGATACTAGCTCTGATCTGTTTGATTTACCAAGCAGTGAACTGATGAAGGGTTTGTACTCCTCAAGTGGTTTGCCGGTTTACCAAACTACCCAAATGGATTGCATCAAGAAGGGGAATGATAATGCACCAATTTGATAAATATGGTTGGGGAGTTTTTGGGAATATAACTTTCCTTTTATCCTGAGTGTGCTTTGGCCTTCTGGTTTTGGTTTGGTTTATTTTCCAACTCTTAAGGTTAGTGCAATTATTAGTTTATTATAATTAGACACATATATACATGCATGTTCTTTGTGATTTCAGCTTTCATGGGAATTTAGATATTCATTTTTTCTTTTAATAATACTCTGTACTTCAAAAATATAAGGGACTGAGCTATATGCTTTCAACATAATTGTTTAGTAAAATAAATTAATTGTTAAAAAAATTATTAAAAAATGGATGGGAAAGAGAAGGGGAACCACACCCCAAAGGGATAAAAAAGGAAAACTAACGTGGCACTGAGTTGGCGGTTGGGATAGATGGAAACCCACGGTGATTCAAATAGACACTACCTTGTTGGTAATACATTTAAATCAATTACGTTGAAAGTATGACTCACTCACATGTATTTTTTTCACTCGTATTTGTTACGGCCTTACGGGGTAGTACAAATTATAAAAAAAATATCACTGAAAGTAGAGATATTTGAATTTGAAAAAAAAACCTTGGGATATGATCCACATTATGATTTTCATTCCCTTTGATTTTTACCTCTCTGGAAATGGTCTTAGATTCTATTAGTATGTCCTTTTACTTTTATTCATGTCTTTGACAGTAAATCATAAATTTTGACTCCAAAGGTGCACTACTTATGTTTGTCTGTCTTGGCTTTTGTTTACTTTCACTGCTTTTGGCACTATTCATGATGATATTCTGCTGGAGAAAAATGATGGTTTCATTACTTTAGTAGTGGTTTAAAATCATTGCTGTGCCTCAAGATTAAAGGCCAAATAAGTGTATCTATCACTCTCCCTAAATTTGTCCCAAATTCTAATTGATACAATTTTACGGACCCATTAGGTCTGTAAAATCGTGTTTCAAACATATTTTACTTATACATTTCTATTAGCCCAAAGCAAAAGGAGAAGTATGTTAAGTTGGAATTAAAAATTCATAAGAACTTGCACTTAAAACACATCCTTTCCTCTTTTCATTTTCATTTAATTCTCACTTCTTGGAAGCTAAATTGTACAAGTTTCCGTTAATGGAGGAATGGACAATCCAGAGTGTCAAACTAACACAATCCGCGCGGTAACTTATGATGAAAATCAGTAGATGAATTTATACCCCTTCTACCCGTAAGCGCAATGAACTTATCCCAAAACACCAAAAGAGGGCATTTATGAATCAAATCAGATCCATTGTAAGCCTCTTTCAAGAAAACAGTACTCTTTGCACCTTTATTAGTAATGTAAAACATACCATGGTGTTTGATCAAGCAAAGCAGCAGTTGGGCTGGCAATCGGTACTCAGAATGGAAAGCGTCGATCTGAGCGGAGGTCAACCGCTTCTCCATGGTCAAACTCAGCAGTTCATGAAGCACCCCCACCACTCTCTTTCGGGCCTTCAGGTCAGAGATGTCAAACCTTCTAGCATTCAAGTAAGGAGATGGGAATTCCATCTTCTGCCATTTCCCAACTTCCTCAAGATAACTCTTGTTTGGCCTGAAACCAGGTGGAAAACTCAAACGAAACGCGAACGGGCCATAAAAATTCATGTCCTTGGATGTTCTTTCCGGGTTCTTGTACCCCAAACCCTTCTCCCTGGCAGTAACAGCCAATGAGGAATCCCAATTCTCCAAGTGGAGATAATCTCTGCCATTAAAAGGCTTCACAAGGAAAAACTCTGGGTATTTTGAGATCAAAGAGTCCTTGTAATCGTGAGGTAACCCCAGTTCATCTTGAATGAAATCAATGCTTTCTAAAGGTACCCTACAATCAACAGATAACATCAACAATTTGCGCAAGTTCTTGACCAGAATGGGTTCCATTTCCAGTCTCACTTCCCCTTCTTCAGCTGCAATTTCTCTAGCTTCTTTGCTCAGCATAACAGCAGGGGGGTTTCCATTATCACTTGTGACATAGAAAATCATGGGGTACCTTTCGATGGCATTTATGTAGTTCCATTTCTGAACGAACCCTACTTCCTTCTCGAGGTCTCTGAGAAGCAGGCACTGGTTTCTCTGAGATTCGATTATGGATTTTAGCCGGAGAATCAGCGACGGCTTCTTCTGGAGATCCATTACTCGGTCCAATTCCCGAACTCTGTGGTAAATTTTCTTCTTCGGTCGCCTTCCGCCGCTGGATTTGTACATGGTTTGGAGCAACATGTGACCCGATTTCCTCAATGAAATATGGGCTGAATCTTTCAGAGATTTGTTTTGAATCATGGTTACAGCGTGGTTGTCGGAGAGGGGGTCAATCAGACCCGCCGCCGGCCGCCGGGGAGGTTGTGGATACGGAAGAAGGCGGCAATGCGGAGTTGATGGGCTGGTGGCGGGCGTTTATGGGCTCATTTCGAAATGGGGGAGTGGTTTCTGAAAATAATCGAGCCTGCCTTTGTAAGATAGCCCATTTTTTTTTCGGGTTATAGAATTGATTTAAATAAATTTGGATAGACAAATTTTATGCGGGATCTAAGGTTCACCATTATGCGACATATGAGAAAAATAAATATTTGTTAATTATATAAATAAATAACAACTTATGCCCAATATGTGGGAAGAGGGGGAAACAATTGATCACATTTTTGTTTTATGTCCTTATGCATCGGCTATTTGGGAAGGGATTGGAGTTCAGGTTTCAACAGTAGCCGTGGGTTCTTTTATACATTTTTTGAAGGGCTTATTGGTTCAAGGTCAATGGGAGAGCTTAAAGTTATTGCATATGCAGTTTGGGCTTTGTGGAAGACTCGTAATGCAAGAGTTTGGGATGGAAGGGTTTCGATGCCGGGGATAACTATTCGGTTGATTAAGTCATTGGTTGAACGTTGGCTGGACAACCGTTTGGGGCAGCAATTGACTCTGCCGTCTTGTTCTATTCTAGGACAACGAAGTTTGGGGCAGGTGCGACATTGCTTTGTTGATGCTGCTTTGTTTCCTCAGGTCGGAGAGATAGGATTCAGTGTTGTTCTTCTTGATCCAGGTGGTAGGTTTGTGAAAGCATGTAACGGTACTATTTCGTGTTCTCAAGATCCCCTTCTAGCAGAAGCAATTGCGGTTAGAGAGGCTTTAGCTTGGTTAAAGAGAGAGGCATGCTTGGAGGTGCAGCTTTTTTCTGATAGCTGAATGGTGGTGAATGCCATCAACCACGCCACCGATTCTCGCTCGTACTTTGGTTCGGTTATTGAGGAGTGTAGGCTATTTTTATCTTCTTTCCGTTTAATTTGTATCACTCATTTTTGTCGAGATTTGAATGGTGTTGCTCATGTGTTAGCCCGTCGAGTGGTTGCTCAACGTGGGGTTTGGGAATCTGTTCCTCCAGACTTTATTGTTTCTCATTTTAATTAATGTGAGTTTTTCCTTAAAAAAAATAAATAAATATATTTTTTTAAATAAAAATAAAAAAATTACGTAAGAAGGTCCACAAAAATAATGCTCCTCCGTCCCCGAAAGAGGTTCCCTTACTGGCTTTTTGGGAATAATATCGATATGTCCATATATTTTTTTTAAAATTATCAAAATATATAAATAAAAACTTGATGATATTAGGGATATGAATGGATAAGAATCATAAGAATTCATAAGAATATTTCATCCTATAATCTCTACACGTTTTGCCTTATGACAACATGTTTTTAGAAACAAGATTTGTTCCAAAATATAATACTCCAAAGTTGACTTAAGCGGCAATGAATTTTGTTCACAACAAGCAAAAATTAAAGAGTATTTTTCATTTAAAGTCATATATCACACGTGAATTTTGCAATGTCTATTTTCCAAACATTATCTTATATAATTTTCATGGCGTGCAGAGACAATTGATGCAACATTTTAAAAAGTTCAGGGGATATTGATGCAAATTTTAAAATTTAGAAAGAATATGTGTAATTCTTGGAAAATTCATGGGTAAACGGTGCAAAATACTCTATTTATTTTTTTTAAAGGAAAAAAAATAAGGTGATTAAGGTGATTAAGAACTTCTTTCCTAACTTGAGTGATAAGAAGCTTACTCTCCCAAATTCATGAAGAATTTTACCTAAGTTCAAGTCCCATTGAAGAATTTGTAGAATTTTAGGTGAAAATAACAAGACACAATGATGTTGTCCGGCGAAACCAAGAAAGAAAACTCATGGTTATATGATTTTTCTTTTTTATACATAAATCACAATCATAGAAGTTATAAGTGACATATTATGGCACTTGCATATTTTGACAACTCTATGGAATTTCGTTCGACTTTGAAATGATTTCGACCTTCTAATCATCCATCCTTAAAAACACTTTTCTATTCCATTAGATAAAAATGAATAGTAAAAAAGTAGAGGATTAACACTATAATTAATAGTTGGCCAAGGGCAGAAGATTGATCCATGTCATAATATAGGACACTCATATCAAAATAACTTTTAGAGTATATAAAATGAATTAATAAAATATTGATGAACTAAAAAAAGGAATAATATATCCATCTGGTTATTTTCATCACACCAATTTAAGACTTCATGTTATTTTGTTACAAAGTGAGTAACACTATCTTGACCCCAAAAATATAAACTCGACCTTTAATCCCATGTGTACACTATCACTCTTTCCACCACATAATACTTATCTACTCTTTATTTTTTTATCCATATTTTGAATTGTGTAATAGAGAAACCTGAGATATATCTTTTGATGTACTTCTGACATTTTTCTAAAATTAGAGAGCAAGAAACTAAACCCCTCCGTCTAAAAGTTATTTTTTGTTGTACCTTGCAATGTTTGATTGAACTTTTCTTTAAATTATTTTATAGGAAATAGTGTCAAATTAAAAAATAAAAATCACTTATTTAAAAACTACATCAATAAATCAATAAAACTAGAGGTGCAATAAATATATTACCAAGAAACAAAAATACCAAATATCTCATTGAATAAAGTTGACGATTAAGGGAGTGTTTCTCTGATACTTATTGATTTATTGTTAATAAATAATTTTTAACTTATAAATTACTTATAAGTCAGATATTTTGTTATGTAAGTAAAATGACTTAAATATAGTAAATAAGTCACTTGAAATTATTTATGATGAAGAATAATTTTATAAATAATCTGATCAAAACAGAAAAAACCAACTTAAAAATTAAGTAACTAACATTTACTTATTTTTTTGCTTAGAATGCAAAGTTTTTGAGCTGTTTCAACTCCTCCGTTTGCCATTGCCTTCTTCAGCTGGAGCTCCAGGATTTCGTAGGTTAGATTTTGGTCTCAACACACATCTAGCACTCGAGCTCCTCGATTATTCATCGCCCCGTACAATATCTAGATTCGATTCATCTGCCACATCCATTAATCAATCGTCTTTGAATCTAATAATTGTAAGTCTGTGCTTCTTTTTCATAATTTTTTCACTCTCCTCTCGATTTCTTGTTGTCTACCCGTAAATCTCTCGATTGTTTTTTCAATTCATCTCGCTAAAAATGATATCTTTTTGATCGACAACGAGTAGTCTTTTAATTCTTGCCTTCAACCCGAGCTAATGAGTTAAAAAGTTTTCGTATTTTGGGTATTCTTTTCTCTATTTAAATCTTCTGATTAATGTTAAAATCAGCATCCACATGCTCAATTTTTTTGTGTGCTTGGACAATTTGATATTTATTCATATTAGATATTCGTTTTTTAGATTTTACAGGGTGAAATTCTTGGGTAAGAATTAAGAAACGATTAATAGGGTGCATAGCTTCTTGTTTCAGATAATCACTGACATGTTAAAATAACAGTGGTTCACACGTTCAGCCACTCGAATGTTCTCGCCATTCGATTTGCTTAACTGATCTTTCTTTGAGTTTACGCGTTTGTCTTGAATTTGGAAGGGTGAAGTGGAGAGAGAAAGAGGATGTCGAGTCGATTGATGAAAAAGATATTGAAAGCTCAAGAAGATGCTCTGCAGCAGCAACACGAGAGCGAGGATGAATCTGACTCACAAGATGCCTCATCCGCTTCTCAAAGAAACCCATTTGATCTTCTTGATGAGGAAGACTTTGAGGAGAAAGAACAAACTGATACTAGTGATGGTATTGACCAGGTGAGATTTAGATACTCTCTCCATCCCTATTTAATAATCTCATTTGTTTTTTTTGCAAGAATTTTAAGAAATATGAAATTGTATCGGTGAAATTTGTGCAGAGAAGAGAGAAGTGATGTAAACCAAATATTTAGTTCCTTAAAAGGACATAGTAAGATCATCTAGGGACATTCAGAAAAAAAACTGGGAAGATAGAAAAGGGACCTTAGGGTTTAGGATATTTACTAGACCTATTTTCTTTCCCACTAGTCTTTACTGATTCATGTATTGGGTTGTGTTTTTTTCTTTTCAAGACTCTTGATTAAACAGTAATAGGACAACATAAATTTCTTTTTTTATTGTGTAAAATTTCCAAAGTTTATTCATTGTTTCAACTATTCAAGTCATGCAAGGGTAATGGTGTCTATTAAAAATGATCCATTTTTTGCTATTTTAACCTTCTTTTGCTAGTTTATGACTTTCAAGTCTCATCCAAAGAACGTAACTGTGGCAAAGAAATTTTCATTGCTAATTTGCTATTTTCTAGTTTATGACTAAAGTAGATCATAACTACATGAATTTATCTTTACCAATGTTGTCTAGGGAGTGTTATACAAGTTTTGACTGTTTGAGGTGAGTTGAACCCAATGTAACTGAGTCTTACTTGATTATACACTAGTGAAACTGAAACCTATCATAGCCAACTAGCCAAGCCTATCATTGATACTCCCATGGGTACTTAATCCTTATTACAATCCATAGTCAACTAAATTACACACAGTCAACTAAAGTAATCCTTATTACAAGCCATAGTCATTTATTATGCTTCGTAAATGGGTACTTTAAAAAAAAGAATGAGGACACAAGATTTATTAGGGGCAAACAATGACAAAAGTGCTTCATACTGTGACATTGATCTTGCTTGCAGGTAGATAAGACAGTGGTCCCTGAAAGATCCTCTATCGGGAAAATTGACGAGAAGCATTCCTCCAAAGGTGCAGATACTAATAACGCAGTCCTGTCATCTAATGTGAGATCAAAGAAAAAGAAAAAGAAAAACAAAAAGAATTCGCATACCACTGGAAATCTTCAAAAACCATTGGATGAAACCTTGGAAAACTTATCTATTGATGGAAACTCATCTTGTCGTGAATATACGGCTTCTCATTCGAGGCAAGAAAAAATGTCAAACATAAGTGGAACAAATAAATCTTCCACTGCCATCTTACAAATTGATCCAAAATTTCTAAGTGCTGAAAATGAACTTCGGAGGATATTTGGGTCTAAAGTTGTGAGTTCTTTTGAACGGAATAGTCAAAGTGGAAGTTCTAGACAGGCACATGGCAGTAGACGTGGAGGTTCTAACCACAGGAAGACTCTACTTGTTCATCCTTCAGAGCATTGGCCACGATGGGACGGTTCTCTTACCATGGAACTATTGGGGACCAAAGATGGAATCAATTATTTCAGGTNCCCCCCCCCCCCCCCCCCAATCCACCACCAAAAAGTCCTATTTGAACAGTTATTTTTGTTCCAAAAGAGTCTTTTGTTATATTTAATGTATTGTTTTGAAAAATGGGAAAAAGTGCCATACACGTTAAGTATGTAATATTAAAATAGTTAATTAAACCAAAAAATAAATCTTGAAATAAAGATTGATGCTTTGATTGATTTCTTATAATTGTATCTTACTAAAAAATATGGAGTAAAAAGTTTAAGCTTTAGGAAACATAGGTTCCTTTTTTTGGGATGGATGCAGTACTATATAAGTAAAAAAAGAGTAAGTCTACAATCACCGAAGCTTACCCCCATTTGGCACCAACAAATATTGGTCCTATGTACCCTTGCACTCAAGGATCATTGAAGTCAATGCAGTATTGCAAATGTGCAATGAAAGGTCGGGGTCAAACTCGTTGTTAATCTTGGGTGAATTGTAGAATGATTCTGTAGAAATTATACTTTGCTCGTCCGGAAAAAGTCATGTTTCCTACATTTTTTGTTGTCCCAAAGGAGAGCCCTTTTTGATCAAACAAAGTTAATTCTCAAAGTTGAAAAAGAAAGAGTCCTATACTGGTCACATGTGCTACATTTAGTTAAAGAAATAATTTTTATGAACTGATTCTTGATTTTGTGCCCGATGTAATTGACCAAAACTGAAAAATTGTACATTGGTCATCAAATAACTCTTTTTGATTCTTGATTAGGCATTTATATGTTATATGTTACATTATTTATATAGGTATGTGCATTTGGCATCCTATAGCCAAGCTCAGAGAGCATTCGAAGCTGCAAAGGCGATCCATGACCTTAATGGAATTGTCAATGTTCTCATGCATAATCCATACCACATAGACTCCCTCGTCACGTTAGCCGAATATTACAAATTTTCAGGTGAACTTCAAATGTCATCGGATGCTATTGCAAGGTGTTTGTACGCTATGGAATGTGCGTGGCATCCAATGTTCACTCCCTTACATGGTAAATGTCAGCTCAAGTATAGCCATGAAACAAACAAGCCCTTCTTCTCCGTACTCTTCTCCCACATGAAAAACATGGACAGGCGTGGCTGTCACCGGTCTGCACTGGAGATTTGCAAATTGCTCCTATCCTTAGATTCAGATGATCCAGTCGGTGCCTTATTCTGCGTTGACTACTACTCTTTGAGAGCGGAGGAGTATTCGTGGCTAGAACGTTTCTCTGAAGAATACAAAACTGATAATTCTTTGTGGTTATTCCCAAATTTCTCTTATTCTCTCGCCATATGCCGTTTCAAGCTTGAAAATCAAGAAAAAGAAGATGTGACAAAGGCTGAATCTTTGAAAGCTGTGTCTACTGATTTGATGAAGCAGGCTTTGATGCTTCATCCTACCGTTCTGAAGAAGTTAGTGGCTAAGGTGCCTTTGAAAGATCAAGCATTTAACCGTATAATTGGACACGGTTTGTTTGCATCTGAGAAAAGTGGGAGCTTATCTTTGGATCATTTGGTTAATATATATGTTGAGAGGAATTACCTTATATGGAGGCTTCCTGATATCCAGAAGTTCCTCAAGGACTCTGCACTTATGGTGATTGAAATGCCGGATCGAAAGGAAACAGATGCTAGAGATTGGACGTGTGTGCGAAAAGAGGCATTTTCTTCCGACAAAAATGAGTATTTCTCTAACTTAAAGTTCATTCATGGCTTTAATATGTTCTTCATTGTGTGGCGAATTGTTACATTTCATGCAACCGTGTGATTTACATTGTTTTTCTTTTTTAATCCTTCTTCGTAAAAAACGACGAGGCTCATTCTTTTCTAACAGAAGTTGAAGGGAGGAACTAAAAAGAAAATGGCATAAATTACAGGGATGAAGAACAAAAAAATAAATTCACAGGGACCCAAAAACACTATGTTTGCATTCATGAAAAACATATTTTAGCAGTCAAGCCTAAGTAGTTAGGAAGATCTTGAAGTTTTAAGTCATGCCTAATCACATGCTGAGTTGATAATTGATTTCTGCCAGGTATTCCCATCTATTGGTGTCTGAATTTTCAGATTCAGTTCCAACTTTGCCCCCAGATAACCTGCAAAATTTCATGGTTGACCCGAGATTGGTGAACAATGGAGGCGAACAACAAGCTGCAAACCGTCCCGTGAGGGATCTGTCGAACCGAAACGCACTTGCAGTTCTTTTCGAGTCAATGTTGCCATGGGTTGACTTTGGTACCGAACACGTCGTTGAAGATCATCCACATGGTCAAGAAGACTGAAAGTCTAAAATGCCCCTCCTAACGAAACAAAAGAGAAGAAGAAGAAGAAGAAATGCAGAGCTTCACCTGGATCTTGCGCATGGATGTATTTTCTGTATTTCTTGTGTTAGGTGCTGGAAAATATTTTGTGAAAGGAAAAATATTTTCCTCTTTCTTTGCAATTCTGTGGATTAAATGATGCTGAGAAACAGAGCAATTGTTTTTCAAGAAAACTATGTGATCTTGGATTTATGTTACTACTTCCCCTCAAGTAACATCAAATTAGGGGTTGTGTTAGGAGTACATCAGTTTGGGGTATAACACTTGTACACCAAGTGTGTTACAACACACACAATGGCACAAACAACAATTGTTTACAAGCACACACAGATAATAAATGTTTACAAACATATGTAGGACCTTAGGCGCTATCAATTCTTCTAAATCGATTGGTGTTAGAAGAAACGCATACCCTAGTCTTATAGTGCATTCAACACAAACAAGTGCCCACGACATTCAATTGTGACTTGATCCACGTAGCCTCCGTTACGGGACAATTGATACATACATGACCAACAAGATACATAGATAACAATTGTTTGCGTGCATTTGTTGTCTATGTGTGTCTGTAACACACTTGGTGGCAAGGGGTGTATAACAAGCTTTTTCTTCAAATTAAGTGACAAGAGTTAACAACTCACTAACCTAACCGTGACATTTAGGACCAAAGAGATATCTTGCATGTATTAGGAACAAATAACATTTTACGAATTATGATCTGTAGCTCAATTTTTCTCGTCTTAACTCATAACGGACCTTAGAATAAGTTTTTCCCTTTTCAAATCTGGCGAGATTTTAAATAAATAAATAATTTTTCTTTGAGATTCTCACCCGTGTTAATACGAAGAGTAATAGGTTTAGTATCGTCTCTAACACTTGAATGTGAGCAAGAGACAATGGCTCACAGACATTAAACATCAATTTTTCGTAAGAACAAATTTACAAACGATGTTATTCGTGGTGTCAATCGTGGAGTTACAATGGAACTCTTAAACAAAAATTGAAGCTCCAGCAATGGGAAAGGCCAAATATCGACTCCATCGTCTAAAATATATATCTCATCTATCCCAAATAAAAGTGTACAATTTGGTTGAACACAATTTTTAAAAAAAGTTAAAAAATGTACGAGTGATACTTATAGAGATAGAAGAGAGAAATTGGATGAATCACATATTCTTTTTAATACTCTCTATATGTACACAAGCAAATTAAATTAGTACGAAGTATATTTTAGTGTAATTGGAATAACTATTTGACTAATGTTATCAGAATAATCATCAAGAAAATATAATCATCAAGAAAATTTGGTGGTGCGGAATGCACGCATCGTTGAATTCGTTATGATTAAAGTCTTGTTTAATCTCTAATTATGTAATGGCGGTTCAAGGAGGCAACGCCCCCGAGAGCAGGGTTCAAGGAGCAGTAGCCCCTACGGGTCCAAGAGGCAAAACCCCTGAAATTTTTTTATTTTGGATAAAGTGCTGCTTTAAAATTTAAAAATTGTCTTACATTTTGTTTCCGGACTTTGTATTTAACCAAATCCGGTTGAGTGTGTCTCTCTATTTCACGCAACTAGACGCGATCATTGGAGAAAGTCGCGAACGGCAACTCTTCATCCTTTCCCGCGTCTATAAAGCCTCTCGCAAGTTTGATCATAGATACATGTTCGAAATCATCACATCTTCCTCATACTTCGTTCTTAAATTCTCTGAATTGTGTCCGACTGAAAGATTCGTATAAACCGGCCAATCTGAAAGTGACTACACGCATTAAAGAGATTTCAAGTACCGATTCCGAATTCCTAACATAAAGTTGAAATAGTAAGACCTCAAACATAAACTGAAATTGAGAGAGAGTTATAGTGGAACTTTTTTTTTCTCGTTGAAAGTTGAATGAATTTGAATTGATACCTACATTTCTTTTTTTTTGCCATTAATAATGAATAATAAGGGTGCAAGTATGTATCAATCCATTTTCCATCTCTAAAAACTCCATCTTAAAAATGTATCACATGCCAAATTGGGCAAAAAGTTGTCTAATCTCCCACTTGCACTCAACTAAAGCCTATGGGGTTGGTCCCCTTTCTCCTCACCTATGCACCAAGTTTTCAACGGATGTTAACAACACAACACAACATAATAATAATAATAATAATAATAATAATAATAATAATAATAATAATAATAATAATAATAATAATAAATGATTAGACATACCAAATTACCCGCCTTTTACTAATAGTCTAATACTCTCTTCTCACCAAAACTTTTTCTGTTTACTATTTAAGGGTGCTCGATAATTTTTACTTGAGTGTGTTTCTTACTAGTCATTTGATAAAATAAATTTCTAATTTTGTAAAACTTTTGATAGTGTTTTTTAAATATGTAAATTTTACTTTTTTTATGCTAAGTTATAAATAAAATCATTTTTAAAAAATAAAATTTGACATGTAAAAACAAAAGTATGAAGAATTTTGGCAAAGGAAGAGAGTATTTCTTTATGGCTCTCAGTCTGCCACTGGCTTTCCTAGTCCGGTCCCCTTTAACAGCCTTCGTTAAGTATTTTCCCCAAACCAAAATAGAAACCGAAATGGAAATGACAAAACTCTCAGTCAAGGGATCTAATCTCACACTCTAACCACTTAAAGAAAGAATAATCAAAGCTTTCATCAAGTCTCTTTTCCTCCCTATTTTCTGTTGTAAGCATAATTACAAGAAAAACCCATCTTTAAAAAAATTAATGTTTTTTTGTTTTTCTTGCATATGTGTTCATCACCTCATTGTATTGTGATTTTGACTAAGGGATGATTCTTATTGTTCATTTGTTCATTGTCTTGTTAAAAAAAGCCTTTTTTTGTGCTCTCTGTTTCCAGCTTATTGTATCCTCAAATTTCTTGCCTCTGTATTTCATGATTTTCTTTTTAGGATTGAGGGTTTTGTTTCAGTTTCACTGTTACTTAGTTGTCTTTATTCTCACTTTCTCCTTTGATTAAAGCTTAAACATTTGGGTTTTTTGTTCATGTTATATTGCAATTCATCTGTTCTTGACCCGATTTTGGAATCGTTTATAATTATCATTTCACAATTTTTTCTTCTTTTCTAATGGGTATTCAGAAAACTGATTTTTTGTTGGAAATTGAGAGGAAAGATGTGGTCTTTTTTAGTATCTGTCTGGATTGAAACACAAGCATTGTGTTTTCTTGAAAGTAGTCATAGTTTATTTGATATTGACTTTGACACTTTTTTTTAATCTTTGTTTGTGGGGTTTCAGAAAATTGGGTTTGGAAGAGGAATCTGTGATTCTGTGTTTGGTTTTTCTGTTCAGTAAAAATGGAATCTTTGAGCTGTGTTTTTGAGGACAGAGGTTTTATGTTTTCGGATGAATTACCGTTAGACTCTTTCACGAGAAGTAGAAGTCACAAAGAAGAATTGAGCTTAAACCCCTTTTCTGATCATCATGAAATCAATGAAGGAGAAGTGTTCACTGAGTCCAGTTTGGCTGAAATGCTACAGAGATCCGAAACCGATAATGATCTAAGGGAAACAACAAAGAGAATGTCTCCAAAGAGTAACACAGAGTCCAAACAAGTGAAAAGGGCTCGGACCACGAATTTCAGTTCCAAACAAGCCCTTGTTTGCCAAGTTCTTGGATGCAACAGAGACTTGGGTTCTTCCAAAGACTATCACAAGAGGCATAAAGTTTGTGATGAGCACTCCAAGACTCCCAAAGTCATTGTGAACGGCATGGAGCAGCGATTTTGCCAGCAATGTAGTAGGTATATTTGCTCAATCTTTCGCCCAACTTTTTATTTAGTGCCCGTTTGGCAACAACTTTAGCATTTTCAAAATTAATTTGCACCATAAGATATTTATCCAAATCAGTAACCCTAATTGAAAACGCTGAATCATGGGTCAAGGGCAGACTACCAAAGAGATATCCATGGCTGGATTTGCAATAAACTTAAAACCATATGCAGGTTTCATATGCTAGCTGAATTTGATGATGATAAAAGAAGTTGTCGCAAGCGCCTGGTAGGCCACAATGAGCGCAGACGAAAGCCTCACCGTGAATGTCTTTGGGGTAATAAACGTGATTTCACTTATGTAGCTTTAGCGTTATTTACAGCGATTAAGTTTAATGGTTTTTGTTTTTTTACGTGTTACGTTGAAGACATTGCAGGGCCAAGGCTATTAGATATGCCAAGGGGCAGAAATTCCATAGGCTCTCACTCTCTTCTGTCACCCCATTCAAGAAACGTTCTTCGCAACTCAAAAATGGGTAGAGAAAATTGTCATTCGGGCACGATAATGAACGGTTTTTGAGCTGATTATGAAGCTGAAATGGATAAAAATCTGCACAAGAGACCATTAGATTGCTTGAGTTTTTTCCATATTTTTCTGCTGGAAGAGGGGAAACCATTGATCTGCAGCAGCTTTCCACTCATCTATTGAGAGTGGAGCAGCAGAGAAGAAGCTATGGTAAGGTGAAACACCACAGCTGTAACGTATGTTTTACTTTTACCACATGATTATGATTAATTTATGAAGACCCTTATATTTACCGTAATGATCTTCGCGTCCGTAATCGTTGCCAATCACAACGATTTGTTCGATAATAATTAATCTTTTTGACAGATTATTGTAGCTAGCTAGCTAGATTCTTTTATGATGTTGGCTTCTTGAGTGCATTTCAAATTATGATTATATATACTAATCTATAATTCTTCATCCCTTTTGTTAAAAAAAATTCACTATATATATACCATATACACAAGAATATATATTTCATCACATTGCCCATAATAGGGAGATATTCCTTGCCAAACTCTATCCAAAATGTCACTATAATGGAATTTACATTTATGTTTGTTAAGACTTTATTGTTGCTCTATGTGACATTTTAGCTGAAGGAATATGAAATCTTATTTTTCATTCTTAATTACTTGTAGTATGTGGAAAGAAATTAAAGAGGTTATGAAGGAATTTGGTTGGTTGTGCTTTTATTTTATTTTTATTTTTTTGAAAAAAAAGATTATTTTTATAATAGAATTTTAAAGCATGTTTTATAGGTGCCCCTTAGCTTATGTTTTTCCATCTGTAAAAATAATAAAATTAGGCACTGCCAATTATTTCAAACTACTTTTTCTAAAAAATAATAATTGAGAACTATTTTTAAAACCAGTCTCAAACTGCTGGGTTTATATATCACTATTAACTTAAAAGCTTCCATAATCAGGCCTACAAGTTTGGGCTTAACTTAGCTTACTAATTTTATACCTTCTTGGGTTGGGCCACTAATTAGACCGTACGGAGTAATATGTTCCATTACTCCATTTTTCAGTTTTGACTTTTAAAAAGTGTGTAAAAGTTTTTGCAAAATTAATAGGATAATAGGTATGACAAAATTAAAGATTCTTTTCCTTTTAAAAAAGAGTGCATTTAGTAGACATGACACAAAAGGATTCGATCTGTTTTTGACCCGAAACTCGACCTGAAAACACTGCGTTTTGATGACCGAACTCGAAGTTGACCCGCTAAAAATGGGTCAAACCCGACCGAACCCTAACCCGACCTGACCGACCCACTAAAGTAAGTCTTTCAAAATCATACACTTTACTACTTTTTTTTAATGTATAAATTTATATTTTTAGACAAAATTTTAATGATATTGCATAATTATCATACTTTTTTCTAAAACTTAAGCATTTTTAAAATTCCTTATATTGATTTATATATCTAAAAAAAATTTTAGGGTTTAAAATAGAATAATCTAATAGATTTAATACATATTTTTAATATTTTAAATTTATTTAATAGAAAATGTAAGTGTTAATGTGAACTTAAAAATTTAAAAAACCAAAGTCATAACTCGTTGCGTCGACCCGAACCCGATAGTACTGGGTCATGAACATTCAGTTCTCAACCCAAAATCGAATTGACTCGAACCCGAAATAACTCTAACTCGACGTGACCGAACCCGAACCCAACCTGACCGACCGATTTGCCAGCTCTAGCATTTAGTTATTATAATGTGAACTTAACAACATTAATTTTACTTCGAAGTGTAATTTTAAGAAATGTTGATCAATTTAATTAAAAAATAATATATTTATCAATAATTATAGATATTAATGCATGATTAAAGTTAATATCAACTTGATGTCAACAAATAACAATCAAACCACTCAAACATCTAGCAGAAATAAGATACTACCTTCGTCCCACTCTCTTTGTCCACTTTTGACTTTTGGAACTGTTCATCTAAGCACTTTGACTCATCAAATTCTCTCAATGTGTAAGCCTAAATATAGTCATGTGTGATCTTGTTTGATTTGTCTTAACATATAGATTATTAATATATAATTTCTATAATTTTTTAATATACAAATTACAAGATAAAATGAATTAAAGAAGTGAATTGGATGCTGTGCCAAAAGGTAAGTGGACAAAGAGAGTGGGACGGAGGAAGTACATTTCAATTAGTTAAAAAGAGTTGAGCAAATTAAGAAAGAAATCCAGATGAGGACAACAAGATTGCAATTAATTGGTGCGTCATTAGTACGCATGCATTATTCTTCATAATATGATTATAGAAAATAACAAGTTTGCGATTTGTTATTACAATCCGGATGAGGAGGCACCTATCTACGAAGAAATCAACAAAGAAATCACCCAAAAGTATGAAGTTGAGAAATTCACGATGCAGTAATGACGGATTTGATGGAACATATTTTCAATCGTTCAAATAATCATTAATTTTATGTAACTCTTTTTATGTGTTTTATTTAAATTTTATGGAACTTTTATTTATATTTTTTAAAATGTATACTAAAAAATTAAAAAAATAAAGGTTTGAAGTTCTAATTTGAAAGAAAATTGAAATCCAATATTTCCATTTTTTTACAACTGATGGCCCGGTATTTCCACTACTCTAATGCCCGGTATTCCCATTATTGGGCTTTGTAGCTTAAAGTTTGATGATGTCTCTTACTATTGAGCTCTTACTATTGAGAATTTCACCCACGTCAAAAAGACCCAACAAAGTATCAAATACTCCCTCCGTTCCAAAAAGATTTACACGTTTAATAAATTTTTTGTCCCATAAAGAATTACACTTTTTCTTAAAAAGAACAGTTCTACCCTTAAATCTTGAAGGGGAGTAGTATGTGTACTTTACTTGCTATAACATCTTGCTTTACACTATTCATAGAGTACTTTTACATTAGGGTAAAGGGTAATATGGGAAGGTCAATGGAAAAAGATGCTTTCCTTATTTTGCTTAAAAGTCAAAATGTGTAACACTTAATGGGACGGAGGGAGTATATAAATTCCATGATCTGTTCTCCTATCATCAATTAGTTTTAGGTTGGAACCCCTATAGGCTTATCTGTTGGGTCTATCGTGCAAGCGTGGAGTGTGCACAATTGGGCGTTTGTCCTCCCACACTATTTTTTGCCTGCCAAACTTTTATCATGGTATCAGAGTATGTTCGGTCTGAGTTTGAACTCCTATCCATAACTGGTGTGTGTCCTTCTACGCTATCTTTGGCACACCTGACTTTTGTCAAACACTTACGACCCTTATGTTAAAGTATAAAATTTTATTTTGGGAGCATGTATTAGGCCTTGATGTCAACAAACAACAACTTAAACTACTCAAACAGCAGAAATAAGATACATTTTCAATTAATAAAAAAGAGTTGAGCAAATTAAGGAAATATAACATAGCATATTAATAGGGTTGTGCATGCACTCCTAATAATTAATATACTCTCACAAACACATAAACATACTTAACAATAAAAACAGCAATTAAGTTCACAAAATTACAAATAAAATAAAGTTGACACATAAAACAATTAAATTGAGATCCCACAATTTGTCTTCATGCATTGAGCCCAGCCACACTTGCTTGGATCATCCACCAACTTAGCTTGTTAATTATCAGCTCTAATTAAGCCTTTAATAAAAACATCAAAAAGGAAACAAATATAAATTGTTTTTATCTGTTATATACTGTGTGTATATATATTATTAACAAATAAAATAGTCTTTAATTTAATTTCTATCATTTAAATAAAAGAATTAAATTTCAAATAATTTTGGAGAGGAAATTTAAAAAAATGGATTCTCACATTGGTGGTGCAATGGTCTCTGGTGCGGACCTGCTTGAGGGTGGGTTTGGAATGTATCTTGCCCACTACATATATTAATTATAATAAAACAATTTATTGGGTTAACAAAAAAAAACAATGTATATTAAAATATCAATAATTTAATTAAAAATGAAATATTAATTAATGGATAATATAATTATTCATGAATATTTAATTGGAGTACATACATTTTTGGCTGCGGCACTGAAAGCTTCACGATGGGGTATCTCTGGATTGGCTGCTTTGATGCGTTGAATTTCCTCCCTTTAATTTCCCATTATTATTTTAAAAAAACTATAAATATTCGTATAATAATAATACTCCCTAATAGAATAATAAAAATAAATATACTATTCACCTTAATTTAATTAATTTCCAAAATTTATAGAGTTATTCAATGTGTAATATATTGACAACTAAAAATTACTCTCTATGTCTCATATCTTTTTTTTCTTTCAAATTCACTGAAATTCCACGTTGTCCGATAATTTAATATTTTAATTATTAATATCTCCATTTATATATAAACATATACTCCGTATTGTAAAAAAATATGATATTCAAAAATAACGTTGTGAATTGATTTTTCTATATTTAATTTATATTACAATTTAATGTAATTTTTTTGTAACTTAATTCATACTAGTAAAAAATGTTGAGGCTCAGTTTGGTATACGGAATTCAAATAATGGAATTGAAATTGGGAGCAATAATTCAAATTCTAGTGTTTGTTACCAGAAAATACGTAGATTTGGAATTGATAGTGCCAGAAATGAATTGAAATGGGAGAATTCAATTCCATCCAAATCTACAAATCAATTCTACAGAATTTTAACTTCCGATTCAAATCTAATTCCGTCAATTCCGTGTACCAAACGGACCTTGAACAAACACATCCAAATGTAAAGAAAATTAAATAAGAGTATATATATATGGGTAGCTAGCTTAGCTTACTTCATGAAGCGATTGTAGGCTGATGGAAGCCTGTGTTTCTTCTCAGGAGCTGAAATTGATTAACATAAAATGAAAGTGAATAATATGAAATGAAATGCTCAAAAAAATTTAAATTAATTAGATTAATTAAAACAATGGTAATTAGTTAATTGATACTCCGTACAAGTTAACCCAGCCACATTTTAGCATTTTTGAAGTGTAAATAAAACATTTTTAGCATTTATGAGACCCAATTTCATATAAGCATCTTAATTATTTGGAAAATGGTAGAACTAAAAATGAACTATTTTATTTGGAAATTAAAAAGCTAATTAATTAATTAATTAAGAGATATTATTTTTAAAAAAAATATTGGCATGTATTTACGTTTGACGACGAAAGGCGCCTTTGGGGAAGATGGTTCGGCCGATGTTGGCGAAGAAGACGATGATTGACCCCTCTTGTAACCATTGCATGATACCTGTTGATTAAACAATTAATCAATTTTTATATCATCATTAAAAATATAAGAGTAATATAACAATTCAATTTATTACAAATATAATTAGTGAATAATGTTTTTTTAAAAAAGGAGGTAATAATAAATTATGGAATGATGGTAATAAAATAGAATAATTAATTTACCTGAAGATTAGTGAGGTGATCATAGCACTGGGGCTGAAATGGAGGCCTAGTGGTGAGAAAGGAAAGGTTGCTGCAGTGCCCACATTTCACTGTCACTGTTTCCAACACTCTCTTGCATGGAATCCCAACCTAATTATTAATAAGAAAATTTCAGCTTAAATATAAAGTAAACTTGAAGATATAGGATTATAACAAATTAAACCCAGAATAATGGGGGAAAAACATTTTTTTAAGATTGACCTAAAGATTTATTCGAGTACTCTTTCCATAATTAGCTGTTGTTACATATCATAATTTTTTTCAAAACGTTAATAGCTTAACACTGAAGTTGTTTTCAAACTCACCCAAAATCCATGTGCTAAATAAACACACACACCGCTCACACACACACACATAACAATTATTAAACTCTATTTTTATAAAAAAAAAAGAAAAGAACTTTTTAGGGCTCTTTTTTGGAATTTCTTTAAGTCTAGTCCGTACCTAGCTAGTTTGAAGTGATATTTTTTGGTTTTCAACATAAAGAGGAAGCCCTAGCCTTTTCTTTTCTTAGCACTTTTAACGCTTAATAACCAAGAAATTGATTTTTCTAATGGGATAAAAACAACCACATAAAAAGTATATATATCATATATCTAGAGAGAGAGAGAGAGGACTAAAATATAATATATTATGCATGCATGCAGGGAGATCGGAGTGTGTACGTAATTAACAACGTACCGCGAGAACGGTGTTGCAAAAGCTGCAGCGGACATAACAGAGATGATCAGAAGAAGGCTGGCTCAAATCCATGGAGTTTTTGTCTATGTTTTCCAAGAGAGATGAGAAAAATGGAGGCCTGGAAGATGAAGAAGAAGGGGAGGAAGAAGAAGAGGAGGAGGAGAGGGATGGGGAGGATAATGGCATAAATTAAGTACTATACTATACTAGGACTTGTGTGTGTGTAGAGGATATATAGGGTAGTAGCTAGTAATAAAAGAAGGTATGGGGAAAGTTGGTTTGCAAGTACAAGTAGATGAAATGAGATGAGACTCTAGCTATATAGAGTGTTAGCTAGTGGTGATACCATATATATATATATACACACTCTCTCTCTCTCTGAAAACATGGAAAATTTTAATTTTAGAGAAATTTAAGGAGAATGTATTTTGGTATTCAAACTAATATAAACGACATGGGTGTAAAAATATGCATACTTTTAAAATTTAAACTCGTTGGTAGAATTTTGTACTCCAACGGCTTAGCAAAAGAGTTTCTTTTTTTACTTTTGGCAAATTAAAAGATTCTATTTTGTACTTGAGTTTCAAATTTTACTTTGGATGTGATAAGTTGATTACAAGTAAATAAATTTGGAATAGACTGATTTAGAGTAGTAAGGATAGAATAGATCTTTTAATAGAAAATGCACGTGATCTAATATATAGATCTTTTTTTCCCAGAAAAATTATCCATAATATATAATAATAACTTTATCCGATCTTTCAAAATTAATCTTACATTTTACTTTGATACATAATAATCTCAACTTTACTGAAATTTGCAAGTTTTGGGTCACCGTTAAGTTGCTAAGGGTGAGGTATTTTTTATTTTTTTAAAGTAAGACTAATCTTTAAAAAAAAAAGAAATTGAGGTAGAAAGTAATTTTAAAAATTTAAATGAAAATTTTTTAAAAAATGAAAATTCATCAAAAGTAATCTCAACTTTCATTTTGTTGCGCAAACAAGTCGTTTTCGTTAATTCGCCGTTAGCAACTTAACGGTGACCCAAAACTCACAAATTTCAGTAAAGTTGAGATTATTATGGATCACACTCAATGATGGATATTTTTTCTTTTTTTCTTCGTCCCAAAAACTTATTTCCTTTTCTTTTTTTACTTGTCCCACAAAATTCTTTTCATTTTTATTAAAAACCACTTTTATCTCTACTAATTTTTATTCTACCTATCACATCATATCTTTTTACTAATAATCTACACATCACATTTTACTTTTATCCATTTATTAAAGAGCATCCCACATCGTAAAAGTGTGAGAAAATTAATCGGTATATAAGCTCTTGAGTTGAACTAACTAATCGATTGGATTCAATCTTTTAATGTGGTTCGACTCAAGTGTCTTATTACCTAATCCAATGATCCATACCCTATCCTAAATTTTATCACCATCACATCAAAGATATTTTTGGAAATTCAATACAAAAAATCTCTCATTTAAATTTCCTAAAAGTCAAAACAGAAATATATTTTTGGGGCGGAGAACGTATTTAAAAATGAATCATGAAAAATTAAAATTAAAATATGCACCGAAACGCAAATATACGAGTTATATTTTTGTTTTCCAAAATCAAATTTCATACTCTGATCAACTATAAATATCAAATTATGAATAATACTTTGAGATGATGAATGTATGGAATATGCACGTAAACAATTAACGAAGTAAGTGCACCAGTAGTCGTACTCGCTTGACTATTTTGTGTATAATAATCATATCATTAGATGCCAAAAAATTGGAATTGATAACCATGGTAATTAAGGTATAATTTCAATGTTGAGCATCTAAATTCTAAAATACTCCCTCCGTCTCGAAATGTTCTTCATATTTTGATTTTATTTATGTCAAAGTTTATAAATTTTGACTCTAATTTGTGGAAAAATATTTTATATTATGATGGGAATTTAATATCAATATATTCCTAATGAAACGTAGTTTTGAAATATCAATCTTTTATAAAATATATGTATGTATAAATATAGATATTAATGGTCAAAATGCAACATTAGAGACCGTGAAAAGTCAAACGGGATAAATATTTTGGAAGAGAGTACTGATGAAATAGGTGATGGTAGATTTGAATGGGTGACATTTAAGAATTCAAGCTTATACTCATTGTGGAGTATTATCACATCTTTTCTTCCAAATTAATTGACATAGTTTGATTTTCGGGAACTTAAGAAAAATGTTGAAATTAAAGTAAAAATGGATAACGTAAATCAATCAAACAGGTGACATGAGCAATGAGATGATGAACACAAAAACAAACAAAACAAAAAGCTGATTGAAAGTTGAAATGGATGAAAATGCATTCATATTAGAACTGAATGAGTTAATTAATTAAGTTATGTATTAATTAATGTTTCATCAATGAACAATACATTAAAAAACAAAGAGAGAAACTAGAGAGGGTTATGGTTTCCCTGGCCTGTATCTGTAATAGGTTCCCTTTTGTGGGTGCATTTCTAAATGAGGAAATATGAAAGTGATTCATGATTGTATCACTTGTCACCATCCTCAGCAAACATTTTTTTTTGTGTGGCATGCATGAACTCTTTGTACATCAAACCATATACAAGCAATAATCAATACTCCCTCTTTCTTCTCCTCTCAATTTTGATTCCAAAATCAAAATTAACTTGAGCGGTGCAATTGAAGAGGCCGGAGGGTGTGAACAAGTCGGGTTGGGGAGGGGGTTTACCGGGAGGTTAAGGGTGGTACGAACCGTTAATTTTACGAATGGGACACCGATGCGCCACCGGATCATCACATAACATGAGGTTCTAATGTCATGAAAACCCTACCGATACGGGATATATATATAAATGTGGGGAGCATAGATACTCCCGTATGAGTATCTATCACACGGGAGTGTGTGTATGTACACACACACACACACACGAATGAATACTCGGGTTGATCTCTCTCTCCCAAGCTCTCGACCCGTTCCCCGGAATTAGCGTCCTGAGCTCCATCTGTCATAACACACACACACACACATACACACGAATGAATACTAAAACCAATTAGTTTCTCATGTGTTTGTGAATTGTGATTTATGTGGAGTAAAAAGACAAATGTTCATAACAGTCAAATCTGTGCATTATACTTGTCAGTGTTACATATATAGAGTCTTCAAGCTATATATATATATATATATATATATATATACATATNACATATATATATATATATATATATATATATATATATATATATATATATATATATATATATATATATATATATATATATATATATATATATATATATATATATATATATATATATATATATATATATGTACGGATTAAATTGTTGATATAAATTACGGTTTTATTTTATTATAAGGTCTGTGCATGTCTACTTTTAACTTTGGAGCAGTGATTCTTTATTAGGGCTTTCTTTTATATTAAAAAATTATATATAAAAAAAAGAGTTTAGGGTTTTATTTTAATTTGCATCTGTCTTTTGATTGATGGGACTATTCCTCGTTTGCTAAACATGGAAACAACCTAGCCCTGCAATTCATCTCTACAAACATTCTGTGTTTGTATAAGAGACTTTAATTTAATTTCTCCTTTGAATTTTTTACTTCTTTTTTGAATTACTCCTCGAACAGAAAACCCTACTTTACTTTTTTTATTATTTATTTTGTAGAGATTGATTGTATATGGATTTGGAAATAATCATTTGATCTACGAACACCCTCTTTGGTTTCTATTTTGGGAGGCTTTGATTAGACATGTCTTTCTTTTGGGGTTTTATATGTGTCTCCTCCTCACCTTGACTTTGAATTTCATGTCATATATCCAACATTGCATGCACATCAAAACAAAATAAAGTTCCACTACTATCTAATCTTACCCTTTCATTTTTGCTTCACACAATCATATTTACTCCTTTCCATTTAAATTTAAGTTTGTGTATAAATTTATATACTCCCTCCGTCCCATGAAACATGAGACTTTTGTTTTTTAAGAGGGATTTAAGGGGAGTGTATTTTGGTATTGAATTTCCAAAAATGTCCTTTGATGTGATGGGTAAAAGTATGATTTGATGGATATATTATTAGTAAAAAGGTATGATGTAATAGTTAGGGTATGAAAAAGTAAGGGGTAAAAATGACTTTTTAATAGAAATGAGAAGTGTTTTGTGGGACGGATAAAAAAAGAAAGGAGAAAGGTTTCATGGGACAGAGGGAGTATATAAATATAACAAACCATATCAGAAGTTTTAATAAATAGTAAAAATATATAAAGTAAAACTGAAAATGCAAATGAATATATAGAACATTTAAAATAAAATAAATAAATTCTGAATAGTTTTAAACATTTATAAATATTTTAATTTTTTTAAAAAAATATAAAGTTCATATAACATTTAAAAAGTAATAAAATAATTTATTTAAAAATGTGGATGTACTAAAGTCTAATCGAACGACATAAATGGTTTATAGTTTTTAAAATTTCTAAATACTCCCTCCGTCCCATAAATTCAGTTCCGTTTCGAAAAATTTGCGCCCCTTAAAGTTTGTCTCATTTCTATTAAAAAACTACTTTTACCCCTTACCTTTTCATACCCTACCTATCACATCATAACTTTTTACTAATAATTTATCATCACATCAATCAAGGGTATTTTTGGAAAGTCAACACAAAATTATCCCTCCTTATTTTACCACTTTAGTCAAACCGTCCCAATCTTTATGGGACGGAGAGAGTACTTTTTTTAAAAATATAAAATAAAAAAGGTATGTGTAGTTTTAAAAATATGTGCATGCATGTACTAAAGAGTAATAAAATAAAACAAGTTCAGAATTGTTTTAAAAATTTATAAATTTTTTAATTTTTTAAAAAATATGAAGTTTGTATATACTCCTCCATCCCAAAATATTGTCTCCCTTTTAAGAAATAACCGACACTAAGACCTTTTTATTATAATTAAAAAAGTAAATAGGTTTTGGCATCAGTTATTTCAGAAAAACTGATGCCATTGCCCTACTTAAAAAAGCTTTGACATCAATTTTTAAATAATATTTAGCCGATGCAAAAGCCTATTTAACATTTTTTAGTTAAAATAAAAAAAAGGCTCTCGATTATTCTTTAAGAACCGATGTCAAAGCCCCTTTTTGGCACAAAAAACACCAATTACATCGGTTATTTTACAATTGATTCAATTGCACTAGAGTGATTGCATAAAAAATCGATGCAAAAAGTCCAAAACAACTAATGCTAAAGCTCTTATATGCATTTGTCTAGAGAATAGAAAATGGTAATTTATCTAAATAGAATTAAAATATAATGACTTTCTCAATATATGGTGATATATTTCTGTTTCCTAATGTAGAATCATTGGTTATTATTCATTAGTCATTATATTATTCAAATAAATGTCTATCATCTCTCGACATTTTTCCTCTCACTAGACATTATTAAGTAATATTTGGGAAATAAAAAAGTTTAAATCCTACATTGAGAAATAAATTATGTTTTAGTCTTATTTAGTGTAAATTTCACAATAGAAAATATATATCTCAAACATTGGAAAAATAATTTGCTAACAAACTACTGTTCACCCTTGGTGTATTTCCAACGTATTTGATGTCCGAGATAATATTAAAAAGGACCATGCTATGGTGCCACCACATGGGTGCTACCATGGGTGCATCCATGTTTCGCACAGACAAACACAGACGATAATTGTCTGTGTCGCACAGACAATTATCGTCTGTGTTTGTCTGTGCGAAACATGGGTGCACCCATGGTAGCACTCATTTGGTGGCACTCTAGCATTTTCCTATTAAAAATACAACCCGGCCATATTTATAGGGAATTTCAAGAAATTTGGACTGCTTTTATTTTATACGGAGTATGATCCATGTAAAATTTACTCCGTAAGAAACAAGTACGAAGAGAATCCTTGGATTTATTTTTGACAATTACGTAAAAAAATGTAGGAATTGATGTATGAAATTTAATTAAACTTTGATCCACTCAAATGCGGCTGGACGGTCACTAATACGAGGTAAATTGGACTTTGATCGCAGATTGGTGACAAAGAGTGAATCTTACACCTGAAACTTGCAGATGTACTATGCTTATCATAGTTGCCCTTCAATGCAGTTGTCAGGAATCAAACTCGGGTCTTACGACCCCTTGACACTCATTGCCTTGACAACTAAGAGGTCGTTATGAGACATTGTTCTTAGTAGAGTAAAAAAAGAGAGTTGTACTATTGTAATCTAAAATCTACATGTGAAATGTGGACTTTCTTATATATTTTTCATGATTATTTTGATACTCCCTCGCCTCAATGTATTTTTCTAGTTTGAGCTTTTCGAGTTAAATTAGAAAAACTTTAATCATCAATTACTCTCATTTTAAATTGCATGCAATACAATACAATTTCAAAATTTCAACAAAATAAATCTAATAATGAAATCATTTTCATATTAATATACTCCCTCCGTTCCACAAAACCCTTCCGATTTTGACTTTGGGGAAAAATAAGGAAAGTGAAATTTTGGTTGACTTTCCAATTTTGCCCCTGATGTGATGGAAAAAAGTAAGATGTGATTGTTTGGTTATTAGTGAAAAAGTATGATGTGATAGGTAGGGTATGAAAAAGTAGGAGTAAAAGTGGTTTTTTAATGGAAACTGGAAGTGTTTTGTGAAAAACAAAAAAATCGAAAGAGGAAGAGTTTTGTGGAACGAATGGAGTACATTATAGCTAGTTTTTGTTTAATTGAAGTCTAAAATTTATCCAATGTAGCTAAAAGAAAATCAAACTAGATGAATAGATAACTAGAAAGTAGCATATCGTATGAACAAATGTATGTGAAAAAAACCGACATGGGGCAAAGTTGGGGTCAAGGTTAAGGAGCAATTGACTTTTTGGATAATTAAAGTTGGAAAAAAGATAGGTCTATCCCAATTGATATATCCCAATTTGTACATTATAGGCTTATACGGACATTTTTGTCGGTGTAGTACTAGCATCTTGTGTCAGTGTATACAAATTGGGATACCAATTGAGGTACCCCTAGTATGACTCTGAAAGTTATGGTGTAAATGCCTTGAGAGCGAAGTTATTGTCGAGGTTTGGGACAAAAGTTGATTAGCATTAACATTTTGGATTTCAAGTTTCAAAAATGTAAATTAACTTTTAAAATGTTAACGCTAAAGTAATTGCGTCATAATATTTTAAAAACGCTAAACTAAAATATGTTCATTCTAATGCCAAATGAAGCCTTGATTGAGCTTGTTCCTCAACAATAATACTTTTGGTTCCATTTGGCATTATCTTCAACATAATTGGCTTCAACGTTTTGAAAATATTATTCAACAACTTTTAACAATTAGTGTTTTCAAACAAAATGTTTAGCAGCCTATCTATGCCCAGCCCCAGTGTGACACCGGTTCATTTGAGGACCCTACGATGCTATGCTCCCCCTCCTCAAAGACAAACTCAGCACATTCATTATTCCCAAGCCTGCCCTGCTTTGCTAGTAAGCTACAAGGTTCACTATAACATATAGTTGTTCGTGGGGGGTGATTTAGGTCAACTTATTCTTATAACTTATTATTACTTTTTCTTATTAGAATCAGATCAAAAATAACTTTAGATATTACATTCATATCAGATCAAAACCATTCAGATCAAGTGAAAAGAACATGACCTTAGGAGAATAAGAACCACTTGGAGGTCAAACAGAGCACCGTATGACTCTCAAATGGACATGGTGTCATATTATAACGAGTAGGGCAGTAGGCAGTCATATTAAAATAACACTAAAACCAGAGAATATGTCAAAGCAATCCTAGAACCAAACTTTCAAATGGCTTATGTTAGTGAAGTTCGCCGTGCATGGTAACAATGGCATGCAATTTGAGCAGACAGGAAACATAAAGTATAACATATCTCATGAAATGGTTCATCAAAAATACTTCTCAACAACAAAAAACAAAAATCCAATAAATAACTCGAATCATACTAAAGCGCGCTGCCCCGGACGACTAAACCGCGACTAGAGACCAAAGGGAAAAAAATAGGACTTTTTATATGCTTTAGTGGAAACCTACTTTGAAGCACCCTTGGAAATGGATAGCTTAGCAAAGTCCTCGCCGGTAGGGTTGAGCTCATCCCAAGCTTCAATCCAAGTGACCATGGCATCAGCCAGCTTGTTGAAGTAAGGATCAACCTTGCCAAGCTTTTCATTGACTTGTTTGGAGAGCTCAATGTAGCAATTCTGGACAGTGGTGCAGTCCTTGGGAAGGGCAATGGATTGGAAGAAAGGGATGATCTCCTCTTGCCAGAAGATGCCTTTGTACTCCTTTTTGAGATTCACAAAAGGGTTGCTTGCTTTGCTGTGCCATATGTATGGCAGACCTGTCTTGATTCCAAGCCCCAAATGGTCACATATAACCTGCAAATTTATCAAAAAAAAGATATTAGTGCTTTCTTCCAACTCAAAATCAAATCCGGCTTTATTGTATCCCGGATGTTGTTTACATAGTATGTTTTTTGAACAAATAGCTTTGTGGTACCTTGGTACACCAACCGGCCCACATGTCGTCGTAGCGTCCAATTGGCTGCCCGTCACCCATGAGCCCAAAGTACATGGCGGGCCCAATCAGCTCACGGTCAAAAGCCAAATTCATGCCACACATGGGGAACAAGGTGCCCTTGGGAATGGTCAAAACTGCATCCACATATCTGAAACCATGCCCAATGTTAAATTGACAGAATTGTACTCAGAGTCCAAATCATAGGTTCTTACAACTGGTATGTTCTCTCTACTTTCTTTACAAATTCCAAACATTCTCTCTGCTTTCTTTACAAATTCCAAACATAACCTAAAAATTTTGTCAAAAAGAAATATGCACATGCCTGGTATTCCTCTCACGCGGCTTAACAAGCTGAGTTGGGGCATCATAGTCAGGGATGTTGAGCCAGAGCCCATGAGAAACAGCGGTTGGAACTCCCTCACGAAGGCTAAAGGGATAGCCACGGACAAAGTCAGCACCTTCTCTATATGGATCATAGAGAGTGTTGAAGAACTGTGGGGTGGCGGGACTTAAGAGATTCTTGATGTGCTGCTCGAGAGCATTGATGTCTTTGCCAGACGGATCTTTGGCAACCTGCACATTCTCATACAACAATGTGTCATAAACAGTATAGATCGGAGCAAAAGCCTCAAAATCAAAATTGATAACTTTGGGACTAACTCCTCAAAAAGATCCTTTGGGGTAACTCGCGCATGCATATAGAGACTCAAACCATGTATACAAGAGATATGAGGTACTCAATACACCCCCTCAGGCCAAACCAGACAAGATAATAAAAGGTGGGAAAATATGGTCAAAACATCAGCCCCCTTTGACCACCTTTGGTTGAATATCATATTAGTTGTCTAACTTAACCGAATTCAATCCTCACGACGTATATCCTATGCTAGACTCAAAGACAATGTGAGATACTCAACACAAACAAATGCATGCAACATTAAGTTTTTCTTTCTTTTTCTTCCACAAAAGGGCTAGTTTATAATCATTCAAATATCATAGAAACCAAATCACAATTCAATAATAGTTCAACCTGAAGGGTACAAGAACAAGGACATTTTTTAAACATACAAAATAATTGAGTGGCGGGGACCAAACCATCAAAAATTTAATCTTGGGCAATAATAGATTACTTTTAAGCAATAAAATTGCGAGATAGTGAAAAAGATCAGATTTAAAAAAAAGTGTTTTGGCCATCATAAGATCTAAAACAAAGGCATCACTTTTCTGCAAAAAGTTTGAATAACAATGAAAAGTAAGCCCACATGAAACAAAATGTAGACTGACAAGCAGATCTTGAAGATAGTCCCATGATCCAAACAATCAATCACACACATAAATCTAAACAATGCAGAAATCACATAGCATGAAATTCCCAGATCAATTCATCAATCAAAATCCAGAAAATTCAAAATCAATTGCAGAAGACTTACAAAGCAATCATCATCGATGGTGAAGATGTACTTCTTCTTGGAAACCATGTACCCAAAGCACCTACAAGCAGAGTCCTTGAAGGAGATGCAAGACGCCTTGGGTCCGAGGATCCGATTGATGTCATTGCGATTGTAGAGCTCGTAGTCGAATCCCTCCGGGACTTTGATGGTCTTCGAAGGGTCTCCGTCCTGGACGATGATCAGATGGTAGGGCTGGAAGAAGGGCCTCCACATCTCCAGGAAATCGAGATTCCTGATCGTGGGGATCACGATATCCAGCTCATCTTTCAGCAGCGGCGTCGCGGGGATCGCTCCTCCGGCCATGGCAGGTCAAGTAACCGACGGCGGGCGGTGGCGTTTTTTTATGGGGGCGGAGCACAATTGCGTAAAGGGGGGATCTTGATTGGATGCAGAAACGGAACGGAATGTCCGAATATATAACGATTTAGGTGCAGAAGAAGTCCTTGTTGTTGCGGGTAACTCTCTGCTTAGTCACAAATTGGAAGAATAATTATTTAAAGGAAAAAAAACTCTTTTTATTTATCAAAAAATACGTACACGATATTTATAAAGAAAAAAATTCACGCAGATACTTCAAACAAATACTCCCTCCGTCCCCCCTGTATTTGTCTACTTTCATTTTTGCACACCATCCAATACACTTATTTAATCCATTTTATCTTGTAATTTGTATATTAAAAAATTATAGAAATTATATATTAATAATCTATATGTTAAGACAAATCAAACAAGATCACATATAACTATATTTAGGCTTACACATTGAGAGAATTTGATGAGTCAAAGTGCTTAGATGAACAGTTCCAAAAGTCAAATGTGGACAAATATAGGGGGACGGAGGGAGTATGTGATTTTATGTAAATATATTGAAATTGAATAATTGGCACCATTGCACTTAGAAATTACCAACTTTTACACCAATACTTTGAATTACTAAGTTGAAATATTTGATATTTTATACTCCCTCCATCCCACAAAATCTTTCTCTTTTCTTTTTGGAAAAATTACCCAAAATAATCCCAACTTTACCCGATCTTTCAAAAATAATCTCACCTTTCACTGTGATGCATAATAATCTCAACTTTAATGAAATTTGCCAGTTTTGGGTCGCCATTAAGTTTCTAACGTAGAGTTAACGAAAATGTCCGTTTTAGGCAACAAAATGAAAGTTGGAAGCTCATATTTTTTTCATTATTAATCTACCATCATATCTTACTTTACACATAGGGTTAACCTACTTATCACATTATACTTTTTCATTATTAATCTACCATCATATCTTACTTTACCGATCACATCCAAGAGCATTTTTGGAAGCTCAATATTAAAATACACTTCCCTTAAAATCTTTTAAAAAACAAAATCAGAAATATTATGTGGGGTGTACGGAGTCTGTGACTGGACAATTATTATGTATGAATGGGTAAGAAATTAGATTCTAACTTGTGCGAAGCACATAAAAAATTTATTTAACAATAAGTGTAATAAAATATAAAAATAAGTCACAAATAAGAATAAGATAATAAGTCAATAACTTCAAATTTTTATATATAATTGATATAATGTATATAGTGTATTTTAATATCAATTAAATATAAATTGATTCAGAAAATTGTTTTGTTCACCACAAATCAAGATTTTCAATTCTTATCGATTTGACACCTGTAAAAATAGCAATGTAGAGTCAGACATTATCACATAGAGTTTCTCGATTATTTGTGCTTATTTCTTGACAATGCAAAAATTATAAACCCTAAATATTGTAACACTCATAATTTAATTTTGAAATTTGGTAAAAAAATTAAAAGCATTCATTGCCTCAGCTGGGATAATATGGATATGAAGAATAAACATTTGCCAATTTATTGCTCTTTTTAACATATTATCATTTTAGGCTGGGTGGCCTCGAAGATACGATGGATCTAGACGAGACAAAAAAAGATAAGTCTTGACTCTAACATATTAAATCATATAAACTATTTTTTTATCAACATACATGATAATTTTTTTGAATGAAGCAATAATTATTATAGTAATACATAGAATAAAATTGTAGTGTTATACTCCTTTCGTCCCTGAAAACCTTTCTCCCTTCTTTTTTCATCCGTCCAAAAAAAATAATTCTTATTTCTATTAAAAAGTCACTTTTACCCCTTACTTTTTCATACCCTACATATCACATCATACATTTTTATTAATAATCTATCCATCAAATCATACTTTACCCATCACATCAAAGAGACATTTTTAGAAATTCAATACCAAAATACACTTCCCTTAAATCCCTTTTCAAAATCAAAACTCCCATGTTTTTCGGGACGGAGGGAGCAATTAAATACTCTCTCCATCCGGAAATATTCTTCTCGTGTTGACTTGGCACGCTTATTAGGGAATCATTAAAAATACCAAATTTTCAAAAATGCACATACTATAAACTTTTACATCTCATTTTCTTATTAAAAAAGCAATAAAAAGTAGATTAGTGATAAAATAGAAGGGTATTACTGAAATTTATCCTTAAAAAGTATACTAAAAAAAATGGGAAGAATATTTCCGGACGGGCCAAAAAAGAAAGTGGGAAGAATATTTCTGGACGGAGGGAGTATCTTAATAGTTATCTTAAAAAATTAAGTTTGAAATTTTTTATTAAAAGAATACAATGTATATTAAAGTATAAAATATTTGGGCCCCGAAAATATGAACTTGGGCCGGTAGGGTATTTGGCCCACCCTAGGGCCGGCCTTGATTTTAGAGTCATTGTTTCTTCAAGTCCATTGATGTTAATAACATTGTGCTTATTTCTTGACAATGCAGAAAAAGTTTGAAATAAGATTGTGATACATATGTACACACGCAGGCCCATTCTAAGATTTTTTAGGCTTGGGACGAATAAACATATCAAAAATTACTAGCTAAAAGTTTAAATACTTTCTCGATTAAAATTGAAGTGCAATAAATTTTTGTATATAAAGAAAAAACATAAATAAAAAGGATTAAAGTACTCTAAATAACGCTAGTTGAGAACTGTTTCGGAAACATGGCATTCAAATGTGTGAATATAATGTTAATAGTAATCTTGTACAACAATTTTATTTCTAGACTACTCATAAACTAAAAGGCATCGCAATTCTATTCACATTTCTAATAGAGTACGATGTGATTCCATTGACATTAAAGTCCAATGTGATTACATTAGTCCATTTAAAGACTCATATGATACTCCGTGACGACCGAGAGTGGTTCTTTCGCCCCATAACCTTCTCCACTCAAACCCCTTCCCCCCATATCACCAAAATGTTACAGACAATAATCCTTTAATATAATAAAGGAGACTCGGATGCAGAGAAATTCGACATTTGGCATGTCTATGTGGCAAAATTTAAACATGTCAGCACGCCACGTAATATCCGAGTAACCAGCGGAAATAAATTATATACGATGCACCAGCGGATCTCCCGTTGAAAACAATTGACCGCAGATTTTTTACGCGATAATCACTGGTCTTCAACGAAATTCTTTCCTTCAGATTACAACAATACGAACTCCTATTATAATGATAATATAAAATAATTAAAAATTAATATGAAAAAAATATAAATACTATTTAAAAAATAAATATAATATTTTTCATTTAATTTAAATAGAATTTTAGGACCATGCTACATATATTAATCATTTATCTTACTTCCATATTTAAAAATTACATACTTAAACTAATAAGTTACAAAGGTTTATTGTGGAAATTCGTACATAATAAGAGTTAAAATCAATAGAGTACCTATATTAATGGAAATTAGAATATTATTTTTAACAAAAAAGATTATTAAGAAACAATCCTAAATAAAACTCTCTCCGTCCCTAAATAAACTCCCCCTTTCGTTTTTTCTTTGTCCCCAAATAAACTTCTTTTTTCCCTTAAAAAACCTCTTTTACCCCTTACCTTTTCATACCCTACCTATCACATCATACCTTTTTACTAATAATCTACATATCACATCTTACTTTTACACATCACATCAAGAGTATTTTTGGAAAGTCAACACAAAAATATCCCTTCCTTAAATCCTCAAAAAGTCAAAAAGGGAAGTTTATTTAGGGACGGAGGGAGTACTAAATTTGAAAATGTTGATCACGAGTATATTACTCATCACCTTACATATATTATGTATGTTGGATAATATTAATATTATTTTGGATCCGTTTACTTATATATGGAAATCCTTAATTATGTGTCTTGGATAATCAACAATATTATATGTTAATATATGTTTTCAGATTACAACAATACGAACTCTTACTACAAGGATAATATAAACAATTAAAAATACATATGAAAAATATAAACTAAAAGGCCATGCCTGACGCTTAGACTACTACGGATACAAAGTTACAGGTCATAAAAGAGGCCGGGTAACTCGAAGAAAAACGACAGGTCATGAGGAAAGGCTGGATGATTCAAAATGTACAGATCTGATATGAAGACTTGATGATTCCAAAAAAGGCCAGGTCAAGGGAAAGGCTTGATGATTCAAAATGGACAGGTCTAATATGAAGACTTGATGATTCCAAAAAAGGATAGGCCAAGGGAAAGGTTTGATGAGTACAAACAAAGAACAGGTCATGGGAAGAGTTGATGATTCTAAAAGTGACAGGTCGGAGAAATAAGATGATTTCAAAAGTGACGGGCCAACATAAATGTACTTCCCACCCTTGATGACTTCCTCACAAGACCGGTAAGTGGAGGACTTCTTGATGGGTATATTTATAGATTGAACAAGTCGTCCTTCATTTATTGCAGGACATACTCCTAGCTTTATGGACTGTGGCTAAAGTTAAAGCAAAAGTGATATATATTGAATGATTATCGGACAATAGCTTTAGACTTGAATATTTCTTCAAATAATCTACATAATTTAAAAAAATTTATGTAGCGTTATATGATAATAATAATTCTACATAAATATTGTAATTACTAAAAATCAGTATTACTGCACAGTCGTGAAGACATATGCATTAAATAACAACATTATTGCACCATTGCGAAAGAGTTCTGCTAAAGTCACAAATAAAATATTTACAAAATTCAAGAACTTGTCGAATATGTAAAGTAGTCGTTCAAATAATGGTCTTACATAATTAAAAAAAATAAAAGCTAAAGTACACAAATACTACATCCGTCCCGGAAAACATGAGAGTTTTGATTTTGAAGAGAGATTTAAGAGGGGTATATTTTGGTATTTAATTTCCAAAAATGTCCTTTGATGTGATATGTAAAAGTATGATTTGATGGATAGATTATTAGTAAAAAAGTATAATGTGATAGGTAGGGTATGAAAAAGTGAGGGGTAAAAGTGACTTTTTAATAAAAATGAGAAGTGTTTCTTG